GATGTTAGGATATGGCTGCAATATAACAAAGAGTGAAAAATTTAAGGGGGTCTGAATACCTTCCATACCCACTGTATTAAATAAAATGAAGGAACCGTGGCGATTTATAAATACCCCGACATTTCCTTTCAGCGGATCTTCTGAAGCGCTGGTTAGACTGCATGTCTATGGAATAGTGAGACAGTATGCGCTGCAATGTACCGTTCATCCCATCTCAATAACACTGACAGCTGAATTCATGACAATTTTCTCTACGATTGTCATCTATTATATGTGTATAAAGCTTAAAAATGGCATAATAGGAGCACAAAAGCAGCAATGAGGAAGAGGAAAAGCATAAAGAAAGCTGCTAGACCGGGGAGTCATGTGACGCATAGGCAGCCAATGGCATTGGATTGTATTGGCCCATTCGTTGTCTATGGACAAATAGACAAAATATAAATGTTGATTTTAAAGAAACCATGAAAAATATCAAGATGATTTTTGCACCATTGGTAGCTGAACATCTCACGAGTTGAAATGGCGTTTCTAGCCCAAGGTATGCCAGAGATATTAAGCTTCCAACTTTGCCCCATTCATTTCCAATGGGGAAATTTCTGTAAAAGAAGCTGAATATCTTAAAAAGTATAAAAGTTATAAAAAAGTTGTATACAAGCAGTCATGGCTGCTAGCCGGGGGAGTAAGGTGACACATAGCCAGCCAATGGCATTGGATTGCTCGCATCCACACTAATAAAGAAGAAGATAACAAGAGTGTGGGTGCTCGCATCCACACTAATAAAGAACAGGACAACATAGTGTGGATGCTTGATGCATCCACACAATAATAATAAATAAAGAACAAGAGAGCATAGTGTGGATGCTTGACAGCATCCACACAATAAAACTCCAGTGAGTGACTGATAGCAGGTTACAACTAACAAAACACAAACAGCTTCCATCAAAATGGCCAGCAGCTAACAGTAATGAGGTCAAAGGTCACAAAGCAACAGCTTACCCTAAAAGATACTATCCCACAGTTTTCAGCAAAAGCTATCATTTACTCCCATCATCCACGGAGCACAGAGCCAAGCTGTGCCTCCTCCTCACTCTCGCTGGTGTACAGTATATGGAGGTCTGGCATGCAAACTGAGGACTCTCTCGATAAAATAAATGTCAGTGGTGTGTCGTGCTTTACTGCAGAGGACCAGCTGGGCTGGGCTCGCAACCAAAACCAACCAGAGACCAAAACCATCACTGCTATAAAAACCTTAAAGGGTCACCACACAAATATGAACAGCCCACAGCCAGGGCACAGACACAAATAACACACCAGCTACAACCAGGCGATGGTGTTTATACTCAGACAGTTCGTAAACATAAATTCATTAACACTTTAACTGCAGTGAAGCAGAGTTAGAATAACACACACAGGACAGTAACAGTACAGCTAGCATGATGACACCATGATACGGTATCCAATATGCAAAACACTGGAGGGCATGTGGTGTTACTTATACCTCAGGTAGTGGGAGGGAGACCTACAGTAAGTGTTACATGGAGAGAGATCAGGACTCACGCGTTGCAGTAGGGTTTCTTGTCATAACCTTTGTAGTTCTTCATGTTCAGGGTCATCTTGCACACCTCGCAGTGGAAACATCCTTTGTGCCAGTTCTGTAGTAACACAGACACAGAGACATATCAGCACCGGGTCTGATGAGTCTGTTTAGACCTGACACTACCCTTCATGTTCCTAGAGGATCTGCTTTTGGAATATTTTGTCAAATGGCTGAAGCTGTACATTTGTCATCGAGATATTTTCTGTTCTAACCTCTGGACTTGTGTATAAACTCTGTGTGCTTCAGATTCTCGGCCTGCTAGCATCAGATGAGCCTGTCTCCAGCCTGACTGTCAATGCAAACCCTGAGGGCCGCTCTCCTGCCCGTCTCCTGGCCAGCTGGCACCAGATGTGCTGACCTTCAGTTCAAACTCCTCTGCAGCTAACATTGCTCCTGTTAGCTGCCCCGAGCTTGTTTCTCCATTAGTTGGCACCGGGCCTGCTAGGCCCCAACCTGCATCTCAGCCAGCTCGTGTTAGGGTGATTTTCATTTTTAGATAGAAATTAATATAATTAGTTACAGTTTTTATTATATAGCATACATAAGTCTATATACTTTAATTTCACAGTTGTGTTTATGTAGTTACATATCACCCTATGTGTTCACTGAATCACTGGTCAGTATTTACCCTGTTAGCCAACTGGAGCACTGTTTAACATCAAGGGCACTGGCTCACTAAAACACTGACTCTCATTAGATTTACAGCTTTAGCAAAGAGGGTCCACAGTTAATTTATTATCACCACCTGGCTGAAGAGGCCAGGGAATTTGGGGTCACTGGGACACCAAGGGTAATAAACAAGAGGCTCTCCTAAACAGGGAAGATCCATGTGCACATGCTTATTTTGATATGTTAATGCATTTAACATAGTCTTCTCTTTTCAAAATAAAAGAACTTTCCTCACACTCGCCACCAGCCTGTCCGCCAGCCAGGCAGCACTGAAGTCATCAGCTTGCCTCATTTCCAGTTAGTCTAGCTTCTCAGCCAGCCAGCCTCCCACCGACTCCTGACCCGGAGCTGACTGGCATTCGGCAGTCCCCTCTTCTGGGAACGCTACCTCACTTTTGCTGGAAGTTCTTTAGAGGTTGGAACCCATACAAAGAAGCATCAATCACAAAGATGCGAGTCCCCAGCATTTATAGGCTTCAGACCTCCAGCACACCTGAGCATCAGCTTTCAGGCAGTCCATTACTCCTGAGCCTCAGCTACCCAGCCCCATGGAGCTTCAGACACCAGGCCACTCACAGCCTCCACTGCCCAGCACCTTGACCAGTGTCCAGCCAGCTATCCTCGCCACATCTTGACTGTTCACGAGTCTGTACCCAACCTGCACAGGCTGTCGCCGTTGTCATCCCATCTGTTCCTGAGCCTGTTTATAACTAATCAAATGACAGTATGAAAAATAATGTTCTGTTTCAGAGAAGTGTCGGCTAAACGTGCAGCTCCCCTCTGCTTTACTGAGCTTTAGGGCTGCTGCTAACGATTATTTTTCTGTCGAATA